CACTAAGTTACTACACAATCCTTTGTGATTCTTTGCGCCCCTTCAAATTTGTAAATAAGCTCTTCATTCAAAGCCCTTCTCTGAATTTTCAGTTCAATTTAGTGTTTATGTTTGGATGAGACCCTGAGGCAAATCATGATTGTGTGAAATGACAGCAGTTTCAGACCCAAATACATCTACAGGAGCGCTTTGGCTGCTACTGTGTTTCTAGGAAGAGTTTATTTCCAGTGAGTGAGCTGATCTCTACACTTCCAAGCCCAGAAACAAGTGATCGATTTCCTCTAAGTAAATGAAATTTACCAACGTAAAACTCAGGCTACAGTGACAGCCTTTGATATCCTTACACAAAGCTGGCTAACTTAGCCTCTGTATGTACTTGACTCTCCACTCAAGAGTAGGGTGTTTGTTTTCTCTCTACACAACCAAGATCAGTAGACTGTGTTTGCAAGGATGGGGGCGTGGGGTACATACAGCTGGTCCTAAGCAAGAGTTTAAACTTGAAGTTCAAAAAATAAGAAAAGAAAGAAATTTGGGTGTTTTTTCCATTTTTAACCATCCAGCTTGAGCAAAAGTGTTGAGCACCCAATTATATACAGTTGGATAATTGGTAAGAATGGATCTTCCAATCAGCCTACAGCAAGGGGTGGAGGTGCTGAGGGTATTGCAGTTTTCCAAGCAAAAGCAAGGAAGAATTACGGGGCAGTGTCCAGACTGCCACAAAGTCTTCCACCAAGGAACGTACAGCTGGCCCACTAAGAGCTGGGCTCTTTCCAAGCGTTTGGAGGTCAGTTTAGGAAGGTGATAAAAGTAAAGATGCATGTTCCTCCTCCCCTGAGTTTCCTAACTTACCCTTGCAATTAAAACACTCTCAAACTATTCCTCAGAAAATTAAGAACTGCCCCACTTTGCCTCATCTAAGATTTTGGGTTCTGTCAACTAGGGATTTCTAGAACTGGCTGTTGACTTGCCTTGCTAGAGAATCTGGTTGGCTGGCCCCAGTCTGATCACCCTGACTTCTCCAGTTGGGCAACACAACAGTTGGCATCATGTGGAACTAGCATGCCTTTGCCACTGTATCCACCCAGTTACTATGTACTCTTGCATATGCAGGCCCAGGGCCACTTTGAAAAGTGTTTCCATGCTGGGCAGACAGTGCTATGTTTTTTCCTTGGGTTCCCATGCTAACTTTTGCTTACATATTACTTGATATCTCATTCTGTTTACTGACCTGGCCTGTTTCTCTGCTCTCTGATTTTTTTTTGACAGCAGGAACCGTGTCTTACATCTCATTATGGCCCCAATGCTGGCATATGGTAAGGGCTCAATAATCCATGCATTGACCAACTCACTAGGAATAAGTCACTGCCCAGCGCTCTCACTGCACAAGGAGTAGAACAAAGTAGCATTGGTGGGGATTGTTTTCCAGGTTCAGGAACTCCGGGAATGTTCAGCTACAGGAGCAGGGAAGGAAGCCAGGCAAACAGGATGATGGAAAGGCACTTAGGCTGCTGAGTTCCATCCTTGCAGTTTTCCCAAATGTCACAGGATCACAGGAGCTTGGGGCACAAGATGTCACCACACCTCTTGGGGAAAAGGCCGAGCGCTACTCACTTCTGCACAGAGAGGCTTGGGCAGCCTCCAGCTGGAGAAATCATGAGATGAAAACATCACCAAATTAGCATGACTCATCCTCCTGCACGGGAGCTGGAGCTGCTGCCTTAGCACAGCTTGTTCTTTGGCTTGCGAGGTGGCTGTGGGACTGCGGAGGGGAGGCTAACAAGTCTCCGCTGCAACTTCTCCACCATGGGTGTGCTGTGGAAGCACCTTAACCATCCCTTCAAGCCTCAGAAAACTTCCCCATAGTTTCAATGCAGTCAAAGGCTTTTTCCCAAGCTCTTGCTACATCAACCTCCTTGTACTCATCTCTGTGGATTCTGAGTCCAGTGGTCCAAGCAGACCAGCTACTGTCCCCATTTTTTTTAAAATTCTGCTAAAATAGTTAGGGTATTTCCCTTTTGTGTTCCAATCCCCTCAGTGGTGATCCAACAAATCATCACCTAGAGTCATTCACTGAAGGCTTTGCCTCTATCCAATTTTAAGACAATTTCCGCACCTTTGTGCCTGCACAAGCTAAATGTCTCTTCGTTCAGAAGCTCACATGGAGATGGTATAAGTGAGTCACTCTTCATTTGTTTATTTGTTCTTGTGCTCAACAGGTGGACTTTGAGTACCTGCTACGGGTGAGACATGGGACGGGGCTCTTAAGGTGCAAAGGACAGCAGTACTGAGGGGAAATCTCTGAGGAGGGTGACAATAGTTCTATCTTAGGCATTTGCTCTGAAGCCCTGTGCCTGGCCGCTGCTGCTTCCTGTCTCTCCCACAACATCTAACACTCATTTCCAGATCCCTGAGCACCTATCGAAGACTGAGGCTGGTCATGTGACTCCTTTTGTCTAAATACCGCCGCTGGTCCCTCATGTCCTCTGTGTTTCGCACTAGCTCTCTTTATCTGTGATATTTTTATTTACTATTCATTCAATAATGAAGGCCCAAGTCTTCATCCTCAGAAGAGATTCCTTCCTTATAGAGATGTTGGCTCAAGTCCCATGTGTTAATTTTAATTCTTAATTAGGTAGTGTGGGGTTGGAGACTTCTAGGCCACCTTTACAGAAAGAGCATTCGTTAACCCATCCCCTCTCCATTTGAGACACTTTCTAATCCCATATACATGAGCCTGCGAATACCCATTACTCCGGTTCTACCTGCCGATGTTTAAGGAGATCCCTTCTAAGTTCCCTGAAATATCCACCAATGTCTGAAAATGCATCTTTAGATAAAGCTAATTAAAAGCAGAATATACTATGTTTGTTTATATCACAGATGTGAAACATGACTATCTATTCCTAGGAAAACTACTGCCCAGGATGTATCATGTACCATGGTATATCCACAATTTAATGATCATGAATTCTGATGATCAGTTTGCAAATAAGTATATTCAAGCTTGGTTGAATGCCAAGAGTTCAAAGTCTTAAGAGTGCCTTATTGTGGAGGTAACAGTCAAGGCCCCAAGTCAGGGAGGAATTCAGATCCTATTCTTTCTGGAGATTGACAAAGATGAGAGAGAGAGAGAGAGAAAGAGAGAGAGAGAGAGAGAGAGAGAGAGAGAGAAAGAAAGTGAGAGAGAAAGAGACAGAGACAGAGACAGAGAGACAGAGAGAGATCTCCAGAGAGTTTGAATATGAGGAATAACAGGTGGGTAATAGCTTTTAGAGATGGGTATAAAGAAGTGTATCAAAAAGAGATGAGCTACATATGGCACATTGAGATCAGGAGATAGGTTGGGCTGGGGATTTAGCTCAGTGGCACAGCGCCTGCCTGGCAAGCACAAGGTCATGAGTTCGATTCCTGGTACTGGAGGGAAAAAAAAAAAGAAATCAGGAGATAGGAAGAAAAGTGATCATGTAAGATCAGTTGCCACTGTGAAATCCAGGCCCATGACCATTTCTCACATGTATTGGGAGTGAATTGTTATTTTCTGAAATGCCTGTTTTTAACCTGAGTTTGTCATAAGGGTAGGTTGACATTACGAAATGGAGATGGTATGCAGCATTTGGAGAGGTAAAATAAAACAGCTTCGGCCAGGAGTAGTGGCCCATATCTGTAATCCCAGCACTCAAAAGGCTGAAGCAGGAGGATCACTATAAGTTTGAGGCCAGGTTGAGCTATATAGTGAACTCAAATCCAGCCTGAACTACACAGTGAGACCCTGTCTCAAAATAATAATTAAATAAATAAATAAACAATGTAAAACCTTATTTTTGGAGCAGATAATGGTTAGAAAAGAAGCAACATATTTAACTAGATAGGTGTATGCACAAAAAAGGAATAAGGGGTTATTAAGATTAAGAAAATCTTGCCTTCTGTACTTTTAGGTCCTTGGGATTTCTACGAGACTTTAAGTCAGTTGACCATTAGAACTCTGCAATGGTGTTCCAGAATGTTTTACAGCAGTGCAGCCAAATACAGTAGCTTCTGGCCAAATGTGGCTATCGTACAATTGAAATGTGTGCCACTGAGGAGCTAACTTTTTAACTTTATAGGCTTTGAATTACTTTAAACTTGAATAGCCATCTATAGCCAGCAGTTACTGACGCAAGCAGTGCTCCTTCAGGTTCATCTGACGGTCAATTCTCCCACATCAGGATTGGAGGAAGCAGAAGAATGTGAGCTCAGCACCTAGGTTCTGAAGTCTGACTATGTGAGTTCAAATCTAATTTCTAGCTCCATCGCTGGGTGATGTCACATAAGCTCCCTGCACCTCAGTTTCATCTGCTAAGGGCTTCAGAGGATATGATGATGATTTTCCCCATACAACAACACTCCTCACGCTCTTGAAACAGTGCATTTGCTTCTCTGCATTACACACTAGGTACTGCCCACCAGGCCTGGCACAACTAGAGTCTCACTGGATACGGTGGCAAGAAGAAAGCAGGGAGAGAAGGATAGAAGGAGACAGAAGGATGAGGAAGAGGGGAAAGGACAAGGGATGAAATCAGCAATAATACAGCCCATGAAGACTGAAGTATGCTACTGAAATAAAATAAAACTGAAAGCTAAAATAAACATTTTGTGGAGAAGACAGTTGGGGGCAAAAAGGAAGCCTGACCTGCTGGAGAAGAAATGCTTCCAAGTGACGGTGCAGGGATGCGACCGCTCTGAGAAAACCAAGACGAACGAAGGACAGCAGACCGCAGGGTCTTCCTCGATCCCACATCCACAAAAATATAAACCTCAGAGTGTGCTCAATGACACCACTTCAAGTGAATGTGACTGCCTTTTGCAATCTTATCTATCCGTGTAATAGTCTCATACACAAACAAACACTGGAAATCAAGGGTGTGCTTTGGGGGGCTTCCCATGTCCCAGTTTTTTATTTCTGCTACATTCACCAGCTCCCCCCCAAAAAGCAGTGTGGGGCAAGTTTTCATAACTGTTTATTCATTATAAATAGTAAATATTTACTGCACTTTTTACATGAAAGACATTTTTACAACACATTGTTGTTGGCTGAGGCTGCAACACAAGATACTACTTCTCTTTTCTACCACCCCCGTGCACTGTGGGAACTAAACTCAGCGCTACGCCTAGGTTTGCTAACTGACTACGTCATAGTTCTCGCCTCTAACAGGAATGGATTTGTGCCTACCTCATTCATGGTTCTGAGAATAGGAAGAAATAAATAACACTGCCTCCCACCTTCTTGTTCCTCTTAACACTTCAAAGAACAAATTTATTGACATTCTAAAATGTCATCACACAAACACATGTAAACCTCAGTTCCTATAATCTTTTAATATTGGGTATCATTGTATAATTTAAAAGTACACGAGAGCCATATGGACATTTCTGTTCTTGCCCTGTCTTTCATAGAAAAGAGAAGAATGTAAACGTACTCATTTTTAAAAGCATATTCTGTGACATAGTCTCTAATCAAAAGGAGCAAGCCAGGTGTCAGTTGTCCAGCAAATAGCAAACATCACTGCAGTCTATCCCAATGAATTACGAGCTGCAAAAATAAAAGCACCTGCAAAAATATAGTTCTGATTTTGTTTCTATCACCTTGGTCATGGCCAAAGCGTCTGTGAGGTACACAGTATTGCACACTGATAAGCAGATACGTGAATGCATGTCACCTCTTCTCCACCACGCCCTTCTCCCTGCCCAGGTTGGCTTCCAGATAAACGTGAATTGGGAAAACATCACCCCTCTCTCAACACTGGAAAAAAAAAAAAAAGCTTTCCTTCCTGTTATCCCACATCCTACTGGCAAGACGTGCGTCCGGGATATTTATTGACAACTAGATTACAAATGAAGATATGATAACAAATAATTTATTTGGGAGGTCCTTTACATCTAGTCTAGCTTCCTAACATACGGTGGCAATTATTTTGATATCAATTTCCAGTGTGTAGAAAGTCAAGGATTCCTCCATTCCTGCTTCGTTAAGTGAGCAGTTTTAAAGTTGTCGAAGTATCAGCCTTGGACGTCAAGCATGTTATACTTTATAGTATTCCCCTACGGTAGTTTAGAACATTCTGCTTGCTCAGATCAGTCCAGATACACACACATACACACACAAGAATGGAATGTTTCAGCTTCTTGATCTTCAGCAATCAAGAGTTGGTATATTTTGATATGTAGTGGGGTTAAGCCACTGCCTTAAAGTGTTGCGTTTGTTTCTTAATTGTCCCAGATCTTCCTCTTCTCCACTGCTTTTGTCCAACATGTTCAGAAGTATCTGAAACCAACTACTGGAGAAAGAAAATTCAATCCCTTTCCTTTGTCTCCACCTCCCCTCAAAGGGTGATTTGTTTCTCTGTTATTTATTTAATTTTCCAAGAAGATTCTTCTCGGGTAGGCTGCGGAGAGAGGAAACAGGGCCAGTTTGAGGTCCAAGTGGACAGCTCACTTATGCAATATCTGGCTTGAGATAATGAAAGGCACCTGTAAGGAAACACATGCAACTTTTTAGGTCATGTTGGGACAATTCCCAGTCAGGGGCAATATCAGCTACAGGCTGACAATGTCATATTTAATACCCTGGTATCAAAGGATTCAGACTAATATTTTTATTCCTGAGACAAGTTTGACACAACTCCGTTCCCTGGGATTACATCCTATATGATCCTTGCACTGACCTCATTAAGAACATGTGTTTCTAATGCCAGGGGTTATTTCATTTTGGCCAACCCTCATGTTTTACCTACTGGCAATCAGGTTGTACGTCTCTGCAATTAATGACCACAAGATGTTGTTGACATCACTTAAGAAAATAATTATATAAGGGAGCCCTGCCTGGACCGATCAAAAGGCTCTGCCACAAAATGGGATACTCAGATGTAGGGCTTACTCGTGCCTCTAGCTCCTCTTTCTTAAGCAAGAGTTGAATTTATCTCCCTTTCAGGAGTTATTACCCACTAGAATGTCCAAGGCTTACTTTGACCATACTGCCCATATTGGTAGCCTGTGACGGGGTCCATACTGTAGCCTGTGGTGCTATAGGTGGGGGGACAGTAGGACTGCGATGTTGGCAGACTGTCCAAGCTCTTCATGTGATCTAGTCTCTGACTGCAGCTGGCCGACACCGTGGTAGTAGGTTCCAGGCCCCCAGTGAGAGGCGAGAGTGCATAATCCGTCTGGGGCTGGTGAGGCACCCCACCATGGTTGGTCAGGAGTCCCATTACCTAAAAAAGACAGGCAGATTGGAAGAAGTTAAAATGCAAGGAGGACCAGATGGTAGCCCACAGCTGAAAGAATCACTTGAAAGTCCAATTTCTATTTCTTTGGAAATCTGTTAAAGAGCTATTCTGAAGACTGTGACCTCAATTCAAAGTGGCAGCGCATATGACATCATGCCCCATGATAACATCTGACTTCTGTTTCAGAAAAAGGAGTGGGGCAGGGGGAAGGGAGAGAAAAGGAAAAGAAAGAAGGAAAGGACAAAGAGAAACAGGGAGGGATTACACCCCAGTGATAAAATCAGACTGGATTTTCAAAGAGAAGGAAAGACATGACAGGAAGAGGGAAAAATTATATCTGTTCATATAGAAAAATGTCTAATCATAGATCACATCTGGAACTTTCACATGTGATTTTAAACAAATATATTCTTTTTTAAGTGAGAGCTTTGGGGTAGCTCAGAGGCAGAGCCCTCATCTTGCATGAAGAAAGCCCTGGGTTTGATCCCCAGCACTGCAGAAAGAAGGAAAGAAAGAGAGAAAGAGAGAGAGAAAGAAAGAAAGAGAGAGAGAAAAAGAGAGAAAGAAAGAAAGAGAAAGAAGGAAAGAAAGAGAGAAAGAAGGAAAGAAAGAAAGAAAGAAAGAAAGAAAGAAAGAAAGAAAAGAGAAAGAAAAGAGAAAGGAAAGAAAGAAAGAAAAGAGAAAGGAAAGAAAGAAAGAAAAGAGAAAGGAAAGAAAGAAAGGGAAAATTTAAACAAATGAACCCAAATCCCTGTGTTTGGATTCTGAATCCTACACATCTCTTTTCACAATGTCGCCTCTCAAGAACGCTCCTCTCCTGGGGCAGGGGATATAGCTCAGTGGCACAAGTGCCTGCCTGGCAAGCACAAGGTCCTGAGTTCGATTCCCAGTGCCAAAAAAAAAAAAAAAGCTCCTCTCCTCATCTTGACCACATTTGGGAAGTAGAAATTATTCTCCTCCCACTGCCCCAGTGCTCCCTGATGCTTTCCTTGTCTCTCCCACTGTGTAATCATCAGTTGCATCACCTACTTTGACAAGGCAGATTCTGAAAGGCGTCACTGCTGCATTTCTAACCCAGCACTACAGTGTTCAGCATCAATACACTGTTGAATGAACCAAGGATTCTCCAAGCCACCACCTCCTTTACCAATCCATGCTCCCACAGGTAAGAAGTGTTAAAGAGAAACACAAGCCTTTCAAGAAGTGTTAAAAGGAAACGCAAACATGTTCTTAAAAAGGTCAGCTTTGCAAATGACCCTGGAGAGTAAGATAACTTTACAAATAATACCAAAAGGCACTGGTAACAGAACATCTTTCAGATCAGCCAGGTGAAGTATTTTACAAACTCAGGCTCACTGACCCTACCAGCACCTCTTGATGGAAGTAAGCGGATAATTAATTTTGCAGCTGGAAAACGACCACACAAGAGAGGAAGTTTTTTTTTTTCTAAAACAATTTTGGAAGAAATCCAGAGTACAGCTGGGTGAAAACATACCCATTACAAAGTATTTAAATCCATGGTCCCACAGAAGCACAACATGTCTGTAACAGTCCTGCAGAAATGGAAATCAAACCCTAACTACAGGCTCTGGTGCTACATGCAAAGCAACCATCACTCAAGGTCAATTTCAGCAATAGAATCCTGAATCAAAGGCTCCAGCAGGGTGGAGGTTTGGGAGCTCGTCTTGCATCCCAGAAAGTATTCTAACCAAGACTCAGAAGCACAGATCCCATAACTTCCTTTGGGAAGAGTCTGCATAATCTCACCACTAAACAGAATCTTTACAAACTAAAGCTTTAAACTGATCCATCTTCAATGGGCCCCAAGAGAAGAGAGACATGCGGGGGGATATCTGTCCACCTTCTGTGGATTATCATAACTACCCACTCCTCTCCCCTGTCCTCCCTTTCAGTTACTGTGCAAGGTTGCAGGCGGGAAAGTGAGCAAGTTTGGACAAGTCAGCACACTAGGTCCAAATTTCATAAAATACCACAAGGATACACATTTTCTTGGCAATATGCAAAATATCATTTTTTGAAACCTCTGAAAATTAATTATATTCTAAAGACATCATTGGTAGCAGAGCATACGTTTTTATTGAGGACCATCGATAGGATACACAGCTATAGGAAGATTTCCCTCCTGGGTGAATTTCCATGTACATGAGAATTTTTCATCCTGGTCTCCCTTTGAACTTATAATGTGACAGTATATACTTGGAAAATTCATAACTTTGATTTGTGCAATAATTTACTCAATAATATTATTTCTGCCCAAATTAGGATCATCTATTTAAAGAGACACACTTCTTTCAAAGCCAGGAGGGCAACTTTTCATGGTGGCCTAATGGGCAAGAATAGATAGAAAAATTTAAAATGTACAAACTGATTTTTCAAACAAAAAAGAGAAATGACAAAGGACAAACATACTGTAAATAAGCTGTGTTAAGTAAAACACAAGCACTGGAAAAAAATCAATTCTGTAGCTGTATCATTTCAGAGAATATAATTATTCCAGTGGTACAAGATAAAAAAGAAAATATATACTTGAAGCTAATGGTACCCTTCATGAAGGTTCTTCATGAAACTCAGCTCAGGGTGTGTCACTTTAAGGGAGAAATGGAATGTGCAGTTATAGTGTGGAGAGCTGGGGATATGATTTTATTCAAAACACATACATTCTCCCATGAGTTCTATATGTACATTTTTGTGATAAACTTTTTTAAATCCCCAGCCATACATTTCCCTTTTGTATAACTTTGAAGGCAATAACTGTCCATGGGGTGAAAAAAAATTGAGGATCCTAAAAAAGAAACAAGTCCTTCCTATAAGCACAAAATCAGCATAAGATATTGTTCATATAACAACTTTTTTGCAGCTTCTGCATTAGAAAAATTTTCAGAACAGAACCAGCAGATCTTAAAATATGTCTACTGGGAGATGAAAACAGTATCATCCTCAGAGCCATATTTCAGGGCAATAGATGATAATCCTTCAATGGTTCTGAGCCACCGTGCTTGCAGGACCCAAATAAGGGCTCTTAGTTTAGCAAAAGCCCTTAGCTCTATAGCCCAGTGCTTGCAGTGGGTGATACAAGAGAGGGAAGAGACCCTTCAGCTCCACGGTAGAGCCCAAGAGATGGACAATTCTCCTGCAAAAGCTTACCTCCACTGTGACAGTCACATCTCGTACATCACCACAATCTTTGGAAGTGCATAACAGTAAGGAACGGGGCATGAGTACTTCCACCCTTTTGGTCTAAAATTTAGATTAATAAGTATGTGATTTATTTTCAATATTTAACATGGAGAAAACCTGAGAGATATACACAATTTTAAGGAGCTGCCATTTAAAAATTAAGAAGGAAATTAGGGGAGGAATGAATACATCAATAGAAAATGCGTTACTCTCCTCTAGCATAATTTAAATCCTCAAATCTCAGTGGAAGGGTCCCATTTCACTGCTATGTACGCTTCTTTCAAAGCTACTTCGTGTCTCATATGGTTTGAGGGAACTATGGAAATTTCTGTTTGTGTACAAAGACACTGATAAATGAAATTCTTAGAGCTCCCTCAATAGGGTTATGGAATGTCATCTGTCATATTCTTTCTAAGAATATTATGGGGATTTCTGTTATACATGCTTTTCCTACAGCAATTTATTATTCAAAGCCTAAAATAAAACCTTCATTTGTTGTAAAGTGCATTTTTGCAGTGGCAGTTGTTGCTGCTCTTAAACTGTGAATAAGCTATTTCTACTATCGGCATGGCAATTTTTTTTTTTTTTTGTTTCGTTGTTTTGTTTTGTTTAATTTGGGATGGGGAAAAGTACAATGCCCTACTTCCACAAACAACTTCAAAGGTACAGAAACAAATTCAAGGCTATTCAGTTCTGCCTGTTGAACCTTCCCACATTCTTAAGCAATGCCAGGTAAATCCAGGAGACAGGACAAGCAGGAAGAATTTCCCAAGGGAAAAGCTTGAGGCATGCTCTTTGACTCTCAGCTTTTCCTTTGAATTGTATACAACACTTAGTTGAGGCATGGGGTGGGATCTATTAAGCAGATTTCCAAACTATTACCTCCAAAATGCCCTCCAGACACAGCTTCTAAATTATTTTATGAGTGACCTTAAAAACCACTTCAAAACCTCGGCATCTTCTGCTCACACTTAAGTTGGTTTCTTTATCATTTCTGTTATTAGAGATATTTTCTGAAGATCTCTTCAGCCTCATTCCAAAGTTCCACAGTTCCAAATAGGTTGTTTATATCTTGATCGGAAGATTATATGGTTCAGGAAAAACTAACGCTTGACAATTGCTTCATGTCGTATTTCTCTTGAATTAATTTTCCTATTGTGAGATGAAATATAAAAGATAAAAGCGGGATGCCAAATTAAGATTTACACTGACAACGATGTGTCTGGAAAATATTTGTGTTGGCACAAGCATCATGGCTTTGCCGCAGTTGAAAGCCCTCGGAGCTTATCAGAAATCTAAAATGATTTAGCAAATTAGTGTGTGTACCCAGGCACTTCTTTTTCCTTTTCTCCTTAGGAGGAATCCTGGTTAATTCTCTTTGGTGTGCCTAAGTAACCAGGTGCTCTCCTGACTTAACATTTAATAACACACATTTAGTTTCTCTTTCTCAAGAAACCATTGTGAAATACAGCTTGGTATGATATAAAAGAGGTTTTTTTTTTCCTTCCTTTTACTTTCTGTCCTTCCCTCCACAAGCCTACTCACTACACCTTCTATTTAGGTAGAATCAATTACCAGAACCCAACAGAAAGTTTAAATTCTTTCTATCAGTGTGGCTTTTGCCGCAGTTAACTAATAGTTAAATTTCAACAGCTCTAGCTTTGAAGCTGAAAAGCCACAATTTAAAGGGCAGAGACTTTTCCTGAAAATATCCTTAGATTCAAATGCCATAGGAACTATCCTGCAGTTAATTAACATCTAAATAATTAGATTTTTGGTCCTGTCTG